CCCCCCCCCCCCCCCCCCCCCCCCCCCCCCCCCCCCCCGGCGCAAATAATCACAACATTTTCCAGATCCCCCCAACTTGACATCGCACCCCCCAGCCAAAGTTAGATCCACCCCTGTTTAGGATTTCACCTAGTTTCTGCTATAGTGAGTAGGTTTGCGTAATTGTGAAGTAAGTGCCCTTAGATTAGCCACTCATTATTTTCATGGGAATTGCCAACACTACAACAGACATTTTTGCATGACACTTAGAAATTACGGCTTTTGCAAAAGTGTAAACAATCAGTTATGAGGATTACTTCTGTGCTTACAGGGATAGCGCAGGATTTCTGTGCTAGTGTGCTAGATCATCAGCACAGAATTGTGTGCTTAAACCATGAAATTGAGTCTATTGAGTTAGTAGTGGCTTTGTGTACTTACATGACAATGAGCTGAGCCTCATGGGAATGTTGGAGAAGCAATTCACGGATCCGCATCTGTCTGTTGGTCTGAAAGAAAAAGAAAGATTTCAGGCGAAAAAAATGGAGTGATTTATTGATGTTTAATAAAGTCGAGTTCCATGCACTTGGCAAATCAAATGAACTGAGAGTTGTACGAAAAAATGGATTGAAAGTGACCAATCTCATTATTGAAAATTACCCACCAGAATGTCAAAGGTTGGACACAATTAACAGATGTTGCAAGACTGGACTTAAAAACAAAAACCAGGGACTAAGCGTAAAGTGGATACTGGGAAAGCTTTAAGTGTATTGTCTCCATGCATGGACAAAAGAGGGCGCTTTATAGTCAAACAAGCAGAAGTCGGAATGAGGGACACTTCACTGGTTCACTCATGCTGGGTATCGTGTATTTGGTACCAGCATTTATAAGCCACGATGGCGCCCAAATGGCCCTCGTTTATAGTTTTCTCTGTGGAGGGGGGGGGGGGGGGGGGGAGCGCAAGGAGGAGATTCTACCTTCTCGTTGAGCGTAGTGACTTCTTCCTTGCTGATCTTCCAAGGAAACTTCTCCGTGGTCTCCCCTGCCTCCTCATCCAGCATCCAGGTTTTGGACAGCTCCTTAATCCATCTCAGGCTCTCAGTCTTTGGGCTTCTTGTTCAGGTACGGAATGACCTCCACGTCCAAGCAGTTGATGCGGAACTTGCTGAGCATGTTGGCCATGTTCATCTTCTCCCTGTCCATTTGCTCCTTCTTGCAGTGGCGGCAAAGACGTGCAGCCTGCATTACTGGGGGGGGTTCACAAACAAAAATTATACAGAGCATTATTTCCCTTTGACATAAAGCATGTGTTTCCTTCAACATGCAGCCATCCAGAATAACCTGAGAGATCTCTGAAAGGCTCCCTGAAATGAATAGGACACTGAAACAAAATAATAAAGCCAACCAAGAACAAAAAGTGTGGTGTTTTCTATTAGGCCAAAAAAAAAAAATTCGGTCTCTGGTCGGCGCGCGCGTCGATTTTAATCATGCGCGTCAATCTTTTTTTCCCAAAATGTTTCGCGGTAGCTCCGACAGCGCCCTCTATTGCCGCATCTCCTCAATTTTTTTTTAACAAAGAGCACCAAGGAATGGGAAATTGCTAGAGAGCACCATCGAGAGCACCAAGGCAAATTATGGAGGACACCAATGTACATGAGGACACCAAAAAAGCAAAATAGTACCCCACCTTGGGCCAAGTTCGCGCAAGGACTATAGTTGACCAATGGTTAACTAACGTTTGCCCGAACTCTGTCTAGTCGACGGTGATTGACTACGCTAGTCGACTATTTGGAACCAGCCTACTGGGGTTGGTTGCTTCGCTGGTAACCAATAGCCGTGCGTATTCATAACGCTAGCAGAGAGCCAGGATCCAGAAGTTTTGCGATGACATTTTGACCAGCATTTGACTAGAGACGTTCGCACGTTGCTATCAGTGCGCAGGCGTAAGGTACGTCACAAATCAACCACTAGTTGACTAATGGTCCTTGCCCGAACTTGGCTTATCTGTACAATCCAAGCTTGGAAAAAAAAATACTCATCCCCGCGTCAATTCCGGAACTTTGGTCTGACCAGAGACCGAATATTTTATGTTTGGCCTTAGATATAAAAAACAACTGTGTTTAACATCCAGAATAACCTGAGAGATCTCTGAAAGGCTCTGTGAAATGAATTGGACACTGAAACAAATATTAAAATAATATCGCCAACCAAGAACAAAAAGTGTGGTGTTTTCTATTACATATAAAAAAAACAACTGTGTGGTAGGGTAGGTAAAAATCTGTTTTGGGGGTTTGACATTTCTATAGCCTAAAAATATAAGGTGGGATGATAGTCATTAAAATTTACTTTTTTTCTCTATTTTGCATGCATTAGTTAACATGTGAATCATTCACACAGCAATAACTTACAATCAGCACTGCTCCGCATATGAGAAGGCTTGTGCTCTTGGTGATATGGGAGACGAAGTGAACCAGGGCAGGCCTGCATCCAGGGCGACCAGTCAATGCAATAATCTGTGGCCTGTACAGGGAAATACAACAATCCACAAATTGAAAGGAAGAGGGAATAGAACCTGGGACCTCCGGATTGCCGTTCCAGTGCTCTACCAACTGAGCTACCAAGCTCCATCGTGTTTAGTCTCCCACTTTGTCAATGTCTATGTTAAGAATAGGCATTGGTCAGAGTTGTAATGACTCGAGTCGACTCGAGTCACAATTTTATGCAGAATTTATGTACACGTTACTTTGCGAATACAGTACGGTACAGCAGCCGCTTGTAGTGTACAAACATACAACGTGTCACAGACTCCCGCCTTGTGGTTCTGGAACGCACAAAATAACATTCTGGAACCGGACTTTAAACGCATTTTCCAATCCGTGGTTTCATCATTGGCTTTGAGCGATTTCTTATTAAGCTATAGGATTCCAATGCCGTCTAAATGTATACCCTCCTTTTTAAAAATTAAATAGATACTTGCCCACTTTTAAAAATTCAGAAATATGTGTATAATGCAGTTTGGTTTTAATGTTGTCAGCGATCAGCAACACCTCATGTGCAAGATTGTGCGGTTCAGTTTCTAAAGAATGAGTGTCATATTTGGTAGAATTCTGTATTCCATTGTACAACACTGTATTTATTCCTGGATGAATCCATACAACCATAGAGTGCTGGGCGGTTTGGGGCGGTATAAGGAGTAACAGGCAGGGCACTTTGAGGGG